CTAGAAAACTTCCCCCCTTAAGATGCGTAGGAAGTTTGTGAGAATCTCGCGCGGGGGGGTACTGGCCATTTCGGGTATAAAAAGGGCGGAAAACGCCGCGGAGCGACACACTTTTCAGCTTCGGGTCTGTTACGTCATTCTTGAGTGTAATCGTTTTTTCAACTCTTGTTCAACTCCAGACAGTTAGTGACACTGAGGAATCGCATAAGTCTCATCAAGTAAAACTGTAAGAGCAACACGATGTTCTCGCATCGAGGATTAGTGAGTAAACTTTTCTGACATATGTTTTACATTTATTTAATATTTTTATGAGTTTTTAACTTTTGGAATTAAAACTTATTAATAATAAAGCCATATGTCATCAACATTAGACAGAGATTTTGTAGAAATCAATAAAACGTTTATTATTTCTATTTTGCGTTTTACTTTTCCTCTAAATTGATTTTTATATTAACAAAATAATATTCCATAGTAAATGCATAAATATGTAATCTCTCTCTTAATAATTTTAAATTGTTAAATAAATACTTTAGGGAACAAATTTCTGCCATATCGAACATCTGTTCGAGAATAATCTGCTTAAAGTTTCCTTAATTATTCCAGTTCTTAGCAGTGACAATCTCGTTAGCAAGTACCGCACTTGCCGGGGTCTTCTTTCAACCCGGCTATGAATATCATATCGAAAGCAATCCACGCTATTTGCAACATCAGTCTGTTTCGCGGTACTGGATACGATCTCCGACTGAACAATATCACGCGGAACAATTACCGGACCAGGAATCGACGCGATATCTCCCGGGAGTTCAGACAAAAGAAAAAAATGAAGATCCAAAAGAGGTAAAGCGTAAAAGAATGGAAGAATCGAGGCGTAGAAAACAATTTATCTACCATATGGGCGGAGACCGCTCTCTTCAACCCTTGATGAATTTATCCTCATTATCCTATTACTTGATCTGATGAATTGATATATGTTTCATTAACTTGACATTCGCAATATTTTATTTATATTACTATAATTTTATTGAAAATTCAAATTTTACTTAATTTGATATTTTTAAATGTAATATTTAATTCGAATCACCTATATGTAACACCTAACAATTTGTCTTATGCGACAAATATGTACGTCACTGTATTATTGACAAACAGCTTTTCTTGTTAATTATATAACGCTGATATTTGTCGTGTTTTTGTACACGAATTGATCATGTAAGTTACTGAATATTTCATAACAATCATATTTTTCCAGATGGTACAACACAACCAAAGGAGATCGGCTGCCGAATATTATCGGCTGCCGTCATACTCGAGGTCATACTCGAATGTCCGTATACAACCTGAATCATCCGCCCAATTACCCGTATACCCCCATCCGGGTACACGGGTCCACACAGATCCAACTTCACACAGCAGTGACGAGAAATTATCAGGAACGATGGAATTATCGGGAATGACCAATAAAATTGTCAGTGCACCAGCTAACAGACCGACTGTCCCAAATGCATCGAGCTATTGGGACAGTTTTATGGCCTATATGTTTATGATAGCTTTGGGAAACTGCAGTCTGTCTTGAAAGTATATTGTTTGGGGGGATGTAGTTGGTTGATGGGCAATTTTAATATCAGTAATGTACTGCATTTAAATATAAATGAGAAAACTGATTGAATATATAATAATAAGTGCATATATAAGTTTACACTTCGTTTCAATATAGAAAAAATTTTACTTCGCATTATAAATATTAATCTCAATTATACTCCGCGAAAAATTATAATTTATGTAATTATAACACAAACGCTTATATTTATCGTGTTTTTGTACACGAATTGATCATTTAAGTCACTAAATTTTTCATAAGAACGATATTTCTCCAGATGATACACAACCGAAGGAAAAGATCGGATCCTGCAAGCACCGAATCCAGTAAATCTAAGATTGTTGCACATGACAATGATGTGACCGCGAAGTCGCCCTTAACTGACGTCAAACATCCTACAACCGATCCTACAATTGAGTCGTTACTTGAGTCAATACTTTCAAAACACAAGCCTACCGATACTAATGGTAAATATTCAAAAAAACAAGAATAAAGTTCGACATCTTCAAATAATAATGCACCGCTTATCTTGAAAGTCGTGTAACAGCTTTTACAAATTCCAAACGTGAACGTAAATTAACGTATCGATATTTAATGCGAATTCAGTGTAAACTGTTTAATTACAGATAAGCGTGTGGAGAACCATCAGACCAAGAATAACTTCATATTATCCATTCTCGGATTCCTGAATTCAATTATTTCATCAGCAAACATAACACTTCCAGAACACAAACCTACTGATACTACTGGTAAATATTCGAAAGAACAAGAATAAAATTCGACATCTTCAAATAATAATGCATCGTTTATCTTGAAAGTCATGCGAACAGCTTATACGAGTTCCAATGAAACGCAAACGTAAATTAACGTATCGATATTAATGCGAATTTAATGTAAACTGTTTAGTTACAGTAAAAGTAAAGCGTATGGAGAACTATCCGAGTATCCAAGAACTATCCAAGTATAACTTCATATTATGCGTTGCTCCATTTCGGAGTTCAACTATTTCATCAAGAAACATAACATTTCCAAGAGACAAGCCTACCGATACTAATGGTAAATATTCAAACAAGAATAAAATTTGACATCTTTAAATAATAATGCACCACTTATCTTGAAAGTCGTGTAATAGCTTACGAGTTCCAATGAAACGCGAACGTAAATTAACGTATCGATTAATGCGAATTCAATGTAAACTGTTTGATTACAGATGAGCGTGTGGAGAACTGTCAGATCGAGAAAAACTTTATATTATCCATTTTTACATTCCTGGGTTCAACTATTTCATCAACAAACATAACACTTTCAGAACACGAGCCTACCGATACTAATGGTAAATATTCGAAAGAACAAGAATAAAATTCGACATCTTCAAATAATAATGCACCGCTTATCTTGAAAGTCGTGTAACAGCATATACGAGTTCCAATGAAACGCGTAAATTAACGTATCGATATTAATGCGAATTCAATGTAAACTGTTTAATTACAGATAAGCGTGTGGAGAACTGTGAGATCAAATATAACTTCATATTATGCATTGCCCCATTCCTGAATTCAACTATTTCATCAGCAAACATTGGATTTCATCAGGGTACAATACACATTCTCCCATTCCTGGGTTCAACTCTTAAAGGAAAAATAACAATAGGACGTTAATTTTTATAAGCATATATTCTTCCTCCTTTGTCCGCTTAGTAGACGAACTTTTATATACGATTTTCTAAACAAGAAATAAAATGTTTTATTTCAATATTATAAATCTATGTGTATGTACATACTAATTTTGTAAACGCAAATATTTTTAATATGACCATGTTCTTTTTTCGTTACATTTTTAACATGCCATAAATCTTATCATATCATAAAACTCTAAATAAAAAACTATTTAGACTTACTCAAATTTATACATAATATAGTAATCTTAATAATTTTACAGTGTTGAAAAATTTTTGTAGTTTTGTTAAAAAAGATCCTTGTTAAAATGTTGTGTAAAATAATCAACACATACATGTGTAGATTTAGCATATGCCTGCTATGTTAATTGAACTTAAAATGTAAAATTGTTAAAAAAATTTTAAAAATATGTTAAAGTAACACAATTTGAACGTATTTATTAAATGTGTTAAAGTTTACAAAAAAAAGACTTTGATTTTACTCCATAACAAAAATGGGAATAAAAATTTACAGAAAAAGTGTTCATTTTATCTTACAATCTTAACTTCCATATAAAAGTTATATGTTAATTGTACACATAATTAGCCTCAAATTACGATCAGATTTACATTTCCTTTTTGATGAAATATTTTAACATATCGGTGTTACCATTTAACACATCCATGTTATGAATTTGAGTGGACCGTTTGGGACATGTAATTATATTTAACACAAATTTTTCAACAGTGTACTGTAATCTTTTAATCCTTTAATCCTTTAAACTTCTAAATACGTGTTTAAAACGGTTATTCATACGGAAATTAAATTTACTGTATTAGCATGTATACCGTTTCAGAATGAAATTCAAATCTCGGGTGAAATAATGGAAGATTAATTACAAAATATATATGTATGTATTAAAAAATCTTTTGCAAGCTGGCTTAGGTAAACTCGTGCTACTTACGATATAACGCAAGTACACACTTTCTTTTAGTCAATTTGAAAATGTAGCAATTTGCATCAAACATATGTTCAGAATGCGTACATAAACAACATACTTTTTTAAAACTTTAATGACATCCGTTTTTCGTTTCGGGACGATTTTGCAATGTGCAACTGATGAATGTTTATCTTTTGTTATTTTTATTGACGGGGCAAACATCGCAATGTTTGAAACGCGATAAAAATTGGTCAGAAAATTATATTGCTTCCTCATAGAAGAAGCCTTGTGATGGTGAAAAAAAAATTTTTCGAGCTTTTGATGGAAATAGGTTTAGAATGTTGCAAAATGTCGAGAAATCACGTTAGTAGAAAATGTCCGGATGTATGTATGTATGTATGTGTGTGTGTGTGTGTGTGTGTGTG